GGATTAATGTGGAGGCTATCTCAATGGTCCAGAGAATGTGCAGAAGGCTATGGCAGTGGGGAGGAGGTTAAGGGGACATATGCCAAAGAAGATCAGTGAATCCTAGTTAACAGTATCACTACTTAAGTGTTTAGGGATGGAATGTACTGACGTCTGTGATTTGGTTTGAAATGCAAAAATAGGATGGATTAATGGGTGAATATGTGATAAAACAAATCCAGCAAAATGTTCACTGTTTACCATAAAATGATGGGAGTCAGGGAAAAACACTGTTTAGGAAACAGAATCCACTGGACCTGGAGGCCAGTTCCCCAGGGTGAGGATGCAGAAGACCTCCTCCCAGTGGCTGCCTCTGCAGTACTGTGCCCACTGTCCTGCACCCATACTGTGTTCCTTCTCCTTGCCTATATGTTTCTGCAGTCCAGGAAGTTCAGCACAGCAGACAGAGGTGAGCATGTTCCATGTCATAACTGACACAGTGATACATAAGCCAGAGCCTAATTTATTTATGTCTCAGACTGGGGCATAACTTGATCCTGGGGCCTCTTCCACGGAATGCCCCTATAGGCCTCAAGGTTTCTGGGTAGCTGACTTGGTGAACGTGCACTCAGAACAAAGGGAACTAGATGTTCTTGGATTTAATTTTTTTTTTTTTTGAGACAGAGTTTCACTTTGTCGCTTTTGGTAGAGTGCTATAGCATCACAGCTCACAGCAACCTCAAACTCTTGGGCTCAAGCGATTCTCTTGCCTCAGCCTCCCAGGTAGCTGGGACTACAGGTGCCCACCACAACACCTGGATATTTTTTGTTCCAGTTGTCATTGTTGTTTAGCTGGCCCAGGCCAGGTTTGAACCTGCCAGCCTCGGTGTATGTGGCTGGTGCCTTAACCACTGTGCTATGAGCGTCAAGCCTCTTGGATTTAATTTAGGGGATGGCAAAGCCTGAGGAAGCTTGGTGTCACGGAGAGGATATCAGCTTAGAAATCAGATAGACTTGAGTACAGAGACCAACCCCGCCTCAGCCCTCTCTAGCTGTGAAAACTTTGGCACGTTTCTTAACATCCATGAGCCTATTTCTTCAGCTCTAAAATGGTAATAGTGATATTTTCCAATAAGGCTGCTGTGAAAACTAAAAAAGATTCTGAAGAGAAAGCTTCTAGCTCATAGAACATCTGCCATTTGTGGTGGGTTGTTTGCCACTGTCACAAACAAACACTGCCTCTGAAAAAAACCCACCTTGCTAGATACTGGAATAGTAACATCTTCCAGAAACTAGTTCTTTTGCTTAGACAATGCTGGACATAGATGGAGTCTTCTTCTCTGAAGCCCTTTTTGAAAACCTAGTCACTCAAAGTTTCATTACCTCATGCCAGACAAGTTACAATAGCATGAAGTGGGTTAGAAAGTTCTTCAGCCATTGACTGGACTCAAGAAGACACATCAGATCTATCAGCTATATACCTATGTCCATTTGCCATGAAGGGTGGCTACTTTTGCAGGTGCTTGATTTCATCCACTGCGTATTGATTTTTTTCCTGGTTTCAATTTCCAAAGGTGACCTTTTTCTACCTTCTCTGTCTCTAGAGTCTAGGGCCCAGAGCTCCCTACGCATTAACCACCTATGAATGTGATCAACCAGATCTCTGTTTTGTTGCTTCAAGCTTTCCTTTGCAGAATAAGCTCTGGGATCTTAAATAAGAAATAAACTGTAGTCCCTTGTTGTGCAGCAGATGAAATGAGGCAATGGGTGAGTCTGAGCCAAGTTTTGTGAAGCTCTGTTCTGGGAAGAGGGCTGCCCACCTTCCCTTCCTCATTGTCCTTCTTTAAGTAATGTGTGGAAGAATCAGTCTGAGGAGATAATTAGTAGAAAATACAACTGGCAGCCATTCTCAGCTCTGAGTCACTGTGCACACTCCAGCAGATGTTACCATGGTTTCAAGGCTGAATTTTCCTCCTTTATGCTCCCCCTGCTCTCTTTTCAGTTAATTTGTCACTCTGCTTCACAGACTCCTCCAGTCTGCCTCCACATACTGGTGCAGACTTAATCCTGTATAGAAGCTGGCTTTAGGTGGTCTTTTTTTCCAGTAACATTTATTTATTTATTTATTTATTTATTTATTTACTTTTTTGGAGACAGAGCCTCAAGCCGTCCCCCTGGGTAGAGTGCCGTGGCATTACAGCTCACAGTAACTTCCAACTCCTGGGCTCAAGCGAGTCTCTTGCCTCAGCCTCCCAAGTAGCTGGGACCACAGGCACCCGCCACAGCACCCGGCTATTTTTTTTGGTTGCAGCCGTCACTGTTGTTTGGCAGGTCCGGGCTGGGGATTCGAACCCGCCACCTTAGGTGTACGTGGCTGGCACCTTAGCCGGTTGAGCTATAGGTGCCGAGCCCAGTAACATTTATTGACCTTTATCTTGCATTGAAAAATAATACATGCCAAGTGGTATAACAGAATATAAATAGAAGAAAATAAAAGTTAGAGATAAACTCACATTCCAGAACTGATACTCAAAATTTTATCATATTTTCTAGCTGTTCTTTGCAAGAGTTCTTGAAAAAAACTTTATCATATTTTCCTGCCCAATCTTTTTGTGATACACACTGGGTAGTTCAGATCATCCATGGTTTTGCATCTGACTGTATTAAAGCTTTTTTGACCCTAAAACCCCCAGCAGACTTACGCCATTCTTTTCTCCTCAGAGCTATTGGCCTTTTGGCATGGCTTTGAACGAATTCAGACAGGCTTGCTTATTATTGCTATTGCTTTTATTATCTGCTGGGATGCATGGAGCTTTCACAATGTTCCAGGCACTAAGAATTTGCCAGGCACATCAGCCATTCATGTTGGCTCTTCACTGGGACCAGAACTCTAGTTTGGTTCATTCTTACTCTGAGACTGCCATAGCCAGTGGTCACAGGAAATGTTCTTCACAATGAAAAATCAGAAGTAAATATGCCTTCTCACTGTGGATGATCTGATGAATAGGAGGGGGGCACATGGTCATTGCTAATCCCCAATCCCCCCATCTCTGAGGTAGACCTGGAAGGTCAACACAGGGACAGGATCCACTTCAGAAGTAGGGAAGCAATGATCCCATCAGCACTGGATGCATTTTCCACAGCTGATCACTGTCAATCCCGAACAAGAAGTGTCCAAGCTGTGGCCAGAAGTCACAGCAGTGCAACATAAGAGGGGAGGGTCCTTGTTATGTCTGAGTTGAGCATAGGTACAATCTCAAAAATACATGACCCCTTGTTTGGGCAAGAAGCATCTCCAAGCCAAGAGTGGGCATCCAACAACTAAACTCTGAACCAGAGGACCATGTACAATTGCACATGGACTTTATGGCCACCCTGTATATTCTGGCTGGCAGTTATCTCATAGAATGGAGGAAAAGTTCCAACATTATACAGTATACGAATTTCTGAAGGGGGTAGGAATTGCAGATTAGAGGAGAAAAAGTGTGCGGGCACAAATTCAAAAACCATTGTAGCTCAGTGGGTAGGGTGCCGGCCACATACACCGAGGCTGGCGTGTTCAAACCCAGCCCGGGCCTGCTAAACAATGACAACTGCAACAAAAAAAATACCTGGGCGTTGTGGCAGGCGCCTGTAGTCCCAGCTACTCAGGAGGCTGAGGCAAGAGAATCACTTAAGCCCAAGAGTTTGAGGTTGCTGTGAGCTGTGATGCCACAGCCCTCTACCCAGGGTGACAGCTTGAGACTCTGTCTCAAAAGAAAAAAAAATCATTTAGCTAAGGCTAACATTGTGCCAGCCACTGTTGCATGTTCTTTACAACAAGAACTTGTTTAATTCTCCTCATATCCTGTAAGTAGATAATACCTATGTATTATCATCAACTCCATTTCATAGATGATAAAACTGAGTACAAGAGAAGTGAGGAAACTTCCTCAAGGTCACAGGGCTTGTAGACAGATGGTGGAGCAGGGATTTGAAACAAGCCAAGTCTAGCTCCTGAGTCCATGCTTTTCACTAATATATCGTACCATTATAGAAATTTTAGAAAATACACAGAAATATACACAACAACCTATATGTACTAGCACCACTGGTCATTTTGCTATATAGCTTTCCTGCCCTTACTACATAGTACGTAATATATGTTATTTTTAAAAAGGAATTTTATTCTTTATCTTGGTCTGCCATAAGGCCATTTCCCCTATCTGGAGCATTTAGATTGATCCCACTGTTTCTCCACGACTGAGTTCTGCAAGAGGGAGAGGGGCGACAGGCTTTTAAAAAAAAACTACCTTCTGAATCCAATCAATTACAGGTGCAAAATAAAATTAACAAACGAAAAACTGGGAGCCGGGGCGGTGGCTCACGTCTCTAATCCCAGTACTCTGGGAGGCGGAGGTGGGTCGACTGACTGAGCTCCGGAGTTCAAGACCAGCCCAAGCAAGAGCGACACTCCATCTCTAAAAACAGCCGGATGTAGTGGCAGGCGCCCATAGTCCCAGCTATTTTGGAGGATGAGGCAAGAGAATCTCTTGCGCCCAAGAGTTTGAGGTTGCTGTGAGCTATGAAGGCACAGCACCCTACCCAGGGAGACAAAGTGAGATTCTGTCTCAAAAAAACAAACAAAAAATCCGAAAAACTGCCAGGCAGTGAAGGCCAGGGTGTATGAGGAACGGTAGAAGGCGGCCACCAACGTGGCTCTTCCTGCTTTCCCTTTGTCTCGCGGCCCCGCGGGATTGGCGGGAGCCAGCTCGGACCGACTGCAGCCCTACAGTTCCTACTGCGCAAGCGTGGAGGAAGTGGGCGAGGGGTGGGGAGCTAGTGGAAACAGTAGCGTGAGATGTCTCCGCCCCCTACCAGGTTCAGGATTCTTATTGGTCAGAGATCTTCAACCCCATTGGTCCGAGTGTCAAAGGAATGGTTCTGTCCCAAACTATGCCTGCTTCTGGAGACCCAATAGGAACAGTCAATTGGGATGCCGCTTTCAGGCATTGTTTAGGACATGCCTGTGGGGCCTGAAGGGGCTTTGTTACGCAACTGCGAGCTGTTGGGTGTTGGACGACCCGTTTCAAAGATGCCACCCAAGGGAAAGACCGGTTCTGGAAAAGGGAAAGGTAGCGTGGTCAGAGCGATCAAAAGACAATGGGGTTGGGAGAGGATCCGGGGCAGGAACAAATAGGCAGTCTCCGGGTTCTGGGATGGAGGTAGCAGGTGGCCAGCGGCCCCACAGAGCCGGCCGCCGTTGATTATGTCTGGGGATTTTCAGAAAGGCTTAGAAAGGATAAATGCGCGAAGGGCTACTGAAGTTGTAGGAATAGTTGTAGGGCTACGATACAAGGACCATCCTGGTGGGTGATAGAAGCTGTTGGCAATGGTTCCTGGAAGGTGATGACTTGAGGCTGTTATTTTAAGCTGTTATTAGAGCTATATAAAGTGTAATCCTGTCGAAAGGCAGCAATAAAAAAGTCCATGTTGATTCTGGTCTTTAAAATTCCTTTTAATGCTTAAAGAATGATGTCGGCAATCAGGGAAGGACTCATTCATCCAGTGAACAGAAATGTGTCAGGCACAGTGCAAGCTCTGAGGATGTAAGAGTAAGACAGATCCTTGGTCTTAAGGAGCTCTCGAAGTACTGGGGGAAAGCACAGTAATCATAAAGCATTGTACTAAATGGAAGGTTGAGAGATGTATATGGGGCTGTTATGGAAACTGAGAAAGTGCATCATCTACCTGGGGAACGGAGAAAGGAAGACTTTCTGGAGATGAGTTAGGTAGGTCAAAATGGGCAGTGGAGGTAGGTCAAAGCATTCTCTACAGAGGTTCCAGCAGCAAAACCTCTGAGATGAGAAACTGTGGTCTGTGTAGTGTTGGTGGAGCAAAAACTCAAGACAGAAGAGCAGATGGTAAGAATGAAAACAAAAACAAAGATTGAATCATGGAAAATGCTATTTTGGATGCTAAGGAAGTCCCTGAAGGGTCAGTAAGAACTGTGAGAAGATTATGGCAGTAGTCCTGTGAGATGATGGTGGCCTGAGGTAAGGTAAAGGCTGTGGGAACTAAAAGGAGAGAAAAGATTCTATAAATATTTAGGATGTGATATAGTCAGAACTTGATGATTTATTGGATTGGGGATGGGGTGGGGTAGGGATAAACAATCATTCTGTTTTCTGGAGTGGATTTCTAACTTGCTAACATCAAAGGTACACAAAGAGTGGTGATAAAATTCATGAGTTCACATTTAGATATGTTGACTTTGATATGTCTGTGGGACATCTAAGTGAAGATGTAGTCAGGAAGTGGTTGGATACTTGAATCTGATGTTTGAGGGAAAGGTCTGGGCTGCACTAGTAGGTTTTAGGAGTCAGTAATATGATAATGGAGCCTATGACAGTTTATGAGATTACCTATGGAGAGTTTATAGAAGAGCAGAGGATATGATCCTGGGTCAGGCAGAGGAGGCAGCTACAGGAAGTGCAAAATGATCTCCCAGAGAGGCTGGAGGTTTGGTAAAAAGAGAGTATGATCTATTATGCACAGCAAAATGGCCAAATAAGATGAGGACAGGAAACAATACTGTTTAAATTTGGAAATTAGAGGTGGCTTAAGGCAAGAATGATTTGGGTGGCCTGAGAAAGGTAGAAGCCAGACTGAAGTGACTAAAGGACTGACACGGAAGTAATAAATTGTAGATAATCAGTGTGGACATCATAGCAGGTTTTATTTTATTTTATTTTATTTTGAGACAGAGTCTCACTATGTTGCCCTCAGTAGAGTGCCATAGTGTCACAGCTTACAGCAACCTCAAACTCCTGGGCTTAAGCGATTCTCTTGCCTCAGTCTCCCAAGTAGCTGGGACTACAGGCACCCACCACCCACCACAATGCCCAGCTGTTTTTTTGTTGCAGTTGTCATTGTTGTTTAGCAGGCCCGGGCTGCCAGCCTCAGTGTATGTGCCCGGCACCATAACCACTGTGCTACAGGCACTGAGCCTTATAGCAGGTGGGGTTTTTTTGTTTGTTTTGTTTTGTTTTTGCAGATTTTGGCCAGGACAGTTTGAACCTGCCACCTCCGATATATGGGGCCGGCGGCCTACTCCTTTGAGCCACAGGCGCCGCCCTATATAGCAGGTTTTAATTGATAATCATGAAAATGGGATGGTAGATAGAGGAAGACAAAGGATTAAGAGAAAGTTTTATTTTGATTCTTCAGAACGGGGAAAACGTGGGAGTAAGGCTGAGGTGAAGAATCCAGTAGATTAAGAGAGGTAGGGCGGCGCCTGTGGCTCATTGAGTAGGGCACTGGCCCCCGCCAAACTGCAACAAAGAAATAGTCAGGCATTGTGGCGGGCACCTGTAGTCCCAGCTACTTGGGAGGCTGAGGCAAGAGAATCACCTAAGCCCAAAGCTGGAGGTTACTGTGAGCTGTGACGCCACAGTACTCTACTGAGAGTGACAAAGTAAGACTCTATCTCTGAAAAAAAAAAAAAAAGAAGAGGAGAGGTAAAGATATAAAGGAGTGAGAGCTAGGAAAAAGGGGGTTCAGGCCTGAGGTGGAGTAGTTGACCTTTGAATAGAAAGGGACACCTTATGCTCGAGGTCTTAGAGAAAAAGGCCAGGTGGATATGGTTGTAGAAATTGGGGTGGGGAGAAGGGAAGGGGTAGAATTAGGGAAGTCATGCTTAATAACATCAATCTTTTTTTTTTTTTTTGAGACGGAGTCTCAAACTGTCGCCCTGGGTAGAGTGTCGTGGGCTCACAGCAACCTCCAACTCTTGGGCTTAAGCGATTCTCTTGCCTCAGCCTCCCAAGTAGCTGAGACTACAGGTACCCGCCACAATGCTCGGCTATTTTTTGGTTGGAGTTGTCATTGTTGTTTGGTGGGCCCAGGCTGGATTCGAACCCGCCAGCTATGGTATATGTGGCTGGCACCCTAGCTGCTTGAGCTACAGGCACTGAGCTGACATCAGTCCTTTTTTTAAAATTTCAGATTAATATGAGGGTACAAATGAGTAGGTTATAGCATTTACATTTGTTAGGTAAGGTTCAAGTTGTAGTTTAGCCCTTCACCCTGTATACCCTTTACATCATGATTAGGTTAGAGTTTACCAATCCCCCTCCCTCCTCTCTCCCCTTTCTCTCGTAAAGTGGAAGACTAGGGTATTTGTCCCTTGAGGGGCAGGGACTCAGTGGGATTTTTTTTTTTTTTTGGCCGGGGCAGGTTTGAACCTGCCACCTCCAGTATATGGGGTGGGCACCCTTACTCCTTGAGCCACAAGTGCTGCCCAGTTGTTTTTTT